ATATATGTATATTTTCAATGCTGTCAAAGAGGAGGGACTGGCATGGTTACCGGCGGGATGACAAAGAGTTCGCTGCCATGAGGTCAAAAAGACGCGTGGTGCCGGTGCTGTCGGCGTAGGCCAGCAGGGTGCAGTCATGGCTCCACGCCACCCTCCTCCACTGGGGGTTTGGGTCCTTTGGCACTGTTGGATGAGAAAATAAGAATCTTTTAAAGCTCATGGAAACACAGAAAGAGAGGGACAAGTAATTTAAGGGACCCATGGATTTCTTATTAAACCAGATGAGACGAGTCTCTGCAAATAATCCCCAGTGTTCTGCGGTAAGCCCATGATGAATACAGATGGGAGAGGAGGGATAAAGCTAATGCATAACATCAACACAGAGTGGTCTAAGGACTCATCCAATTCATCAATGGAGGATAGCTGGAGTAATACATCTAAATGATTGTCCCTCAATGTGTCTCGCACACTCACGACGGGGAGAGAAAGGTGGAGCGGAGAAAAGTGGGGAGGAAAACTGGGATCATAAATCCTGCTTTTATTGAAGTATAGGCTACTGTTTTAGCAATCTGCTGCTCAGCAGCGCTGTGAGTGTAACCATATCGCTGTTATAAAGCACATCCAGCCTGCTGGCACTTTCTCAAGGCTTCGCTGTCAAACTGTCTGAAAGAGGAGCACGGGCAGTCTGGCAGGCTTCAGATGCTGAATCTGATTTGAATAACTGATTACCTTAAACACATTGCGGGGGGGGGTTAGGGTATTTGTGCACACACTCTTTGTTCTGTGCGATAGAAAACTGTGAACAACATTTAAGTGTAACTAAGGACAATCTTAACATTGATTTCAGCATTGGAGAACAGTGTGAATGCGCCACCACGGGTGCTGCGCCTGCTAAGCAATAAAGTTATGAAGAGGAAGTTATGTTTTTGTTGATATCACATAACAGCACTATTGGCAGTTTATTGTATTGAATTCCTTGGCTGAGGAACGCTGCTGCAACCCCTGGTGGGCAATACCGCAACGAATGGAGGCGTCGGATATTGTATGACTAGAATTTTAAATGAAGAACCAAGGGAAGGTAGTGGGAGGCGAGACAGACAAAAAGAGAATAAGAGAGAATAAGACAAAAACAATGAAGCCAGCACCCACTGAGAGGAATAATGGCTCCCCAAATTTTAAAGGCCTAAGTATCAGAGAGCGCTTCGTGGAAGCAGGCGATTTAACTCACCTCTGAGACTTTGGGTGAGGAGGAGCAGACAAGAACATGGAGACATTATGAGAGTCATAGATACCAAGCGTCAGCTCTGTTCTTTTCTTCTTTTTTTTGCCTCCTATTTCAATTTGTTCCTCTACTTCACTCTCACCGCCTCCCATCTTATCTCTGGCTCCCATTATGAATTGTACACAGTGTGTTGTTCTGTGGCTAAGGGAGGGGGCTCCATTTCCACATAGATGGCTTTTTTGGGGGGGGAGCTGGAAAATTGGATCCTACTGTCCTGTTTTTTTTTTTCGCTTTTTTTCTCCAAGCAATTGCAGGGGCGGAAGTTGGGAAGAATTACACCCGACGACCCAACAGAAGCGTCCTATCTAAAGGCCTCGCAGATGCATTTATCAGAGCTCAACTCTTATGAATTATGTACGGGGGCGGTAGACGACTCTGCTGTAATAGGAGCAGACAGAGAGGGAGGGGGGAGAGAAAGAAAGAGACAGACAGTGATACACAGGTGTAGATACACACACACACACACACACACACACGCACACACGCGCACACGCCTCCATTAAAAGTGAATGCCACAAAAAGCAGGATCACAGAAGAATCCATTAGGACAAATCTCCGTGAAATGAAATGAAGTAAAAGTAAAATGAAAAGGAGAAATGAAATGAAATGGAATGGGGGAAAGAAGGAGGGGGGGGGGAGAAGGAGTTTACACAGGCCTAGGGACAACTGTTATCCACACGATGACGCATTAGAGCGCCGACGCACAATGATGGCCAGCCTGAAATGAACAAATACTGAGACAGACAGACAATTGGCAGGAGAGAAAACTAAATGAGAAAAAAAGACAGAAAAGACAGAAAAAAGGAGACGGGAGAAGGCGAGGAGTTGAGCTAGAAAATATTGACAAAATCAAAGTTTGAATATGGGCTTTGTACTGAGCACTTTGTTTTGTTTGGAGCAGCGTGTCTGTGTGTGTATCACAACGAGTTTTATGCTGTCAAATAAATGTAGACTTGTTTTGAATAATGTCTTCTTTCTGATGTTTCTGATGGCTTTTGTTTTGGATTGTTGATAAATTAAAGGATGAGTTCTTGGCATAGACTGTAAACAGGTTCTTGGTTTTGGTTTCTTGCTATTTCAGTGAATAAATGACTACAGTCACTTTCTAGAAGCCAACTTTGACTCTCTGATGCTTGGTGATGGCCAGTCTTGGAAACCATCTGCCATCGTCTGATCTGGAAGTATGTGCCAAACGATTGCCAGCTTTTCTGTAACTCTATTGTGTTCGCTTTAAAACAACTTCCAGCCAAGGTTTCCTTTTTGATGTGCAGCATTGTTTACAGTCTAATTAGCCATTTCAGAAGTGATCATGTGTTCATATCAAACGCTAAGATATTTCTGCAAAGCACACACTTTCATTTCCTAGCTCCTTACATCCCCCGAGGAGCGCCTGTTCATCTGTTTCTGGGGAGTCTCAGTTTACCTGTAATAACTAAGTTACACAGAGGCTTCAGTCTGGAATATTTCAGCAATATGCACTGGAAAAGGAATCCAATTCTTTTGTGATTTACTTGCACTGACAGGTCTTACATAACAGCATTATGATGCTGATTTGTAAAAGGTGAAAATGCAATCAATTTTCCGCCTGCTGAACACAATCTGCCATAGTGAAGTTCCAGGATGAAGGTTACTGTAAACCTTGCAATCTGTAAAGAGAGATTTGGTGCTAGCATGAAGCATCCAGTAAGTTGACGAAAATAATAATAATAGTAATACATTATCAAAATAGCTGCCTGCCGCTTGTGTGCCTAAAAACCAAAACATCGAGCTGAAAGGTGTCTTAGTGATCAGCAGAGCAGCAGGAAGCTTTTTAGTTTTGGAAAAGTCTTTTTCATTATGGCTAAAACAAAATGTTTGATTTGTGCAGCTGTCAGTTAAAAGGTTGATTAAAAGTGTGTGTGTGTCGTAAGTCGAAACTTACAGAAACTTTGTACCTCGCTGTATTTTATAGCAATTAAAACCAAGACAGCAGGCCACTGTCGCAGCTAATCAAACAATAAAGTCTATTTATTCTTATCAGCCACGATGAGGCTGTGTTTCATGACTGACGGTGTGGGGGAAGAGGCTGATTATTGGCGCTGCTTTTCCAGTCTCTTTCTCACCAATTCCAATTAGCCTCGGGGTTCGATAGTTCTCTTTGAAACAGATTCAAAGTAGACAAGTACAAACACAGGCACGGAGGCTAACATATACACACACACACACGACCACAAATATAACTACAGGATAACAAAAACAACCTATCGCTAATTAAAAACTAAACAGTCCAATGTGGGCGGGACTTGAGAGCGTTGAGGCTACTTCTGTCTTTGTGTCTGAGACCAAAGAAGAACCACAGCAGAGTCCAAAATCATTCCACTGTTTACTCACTAATGAACATTCAGCACTTCACTCTAAATTGAGAACTGCGACTGTAGGCACTCATGAATCCTCATCGTTTGCATCGTCGCTGACTGATGTATGGTGTTGAATGATTGTACCCCAAGAATATGAAAATGTGGAAAAATGACACTTTGGGATTAACAGACGTGTAATAGCCTTGAAATAATGTTTTTAAGTAAAGTTTGATGAAATATAAACAAAGCTTGATGGTATAGCTTTTTTCCAAAGCTAATGTGATGAATTATGGACGATTTTATCCTCAGCAAGATGAATTTCTGATTTCATTCCTGACAATGTTACCCCAATTTATTGCAAAGGTCATTTGTTAAAACTGTATTAAGATAATGTATGGAAGCCTTTAGAGGAATATTCAAAGCTCCAGTGACTTAACAGATTGTGTCCATTTTTACATTTCAGGCAATAAAAAGAACAATATAGAAATAGTCAATCTTCATGCTGATACTCTTGTATGTCGTAAAGAGTCATTGTTTTGAATTTCAGGCTGTTTCTGAACCAGTTAAAAGTCTTCACTGTAGCTTAAAGCTTAAAGTTTAAATATAAACATTAAATTAAAAATGTGATTCTCGAGAGTAGCTTCATAATTTCTCACATTGACTATTTGAATATCACTTTTTTAATCACATACTTATATTTGCATTTTTAAAAGCTCTCACACTTTTTTTTTTTTGTGACCATCGGATTTGTATTTGTTTTCCCAACCGTTAACATATTGAAAAAAATGTTTTATATTAATTTTGTGATAACAATTTTAGCTATATTAAACAGCACAGAGACATATCTATTCTCCCCCCCCCCCCCAGCAGTCAGAGCTGCTCAAACCCACAGCTTCCAGCACAACATAACTCTCCTCGACCAGAAAGGTCTTACCCTGGCACTTCCCGATGACTGAGCCAAAGTCATCTCTCACAGACCTGTGGAGAAAAACACGGACACAGAGACAGAGTGAGAGGCACAACAGGGATACACACAGTAGAGCCTCATATGTCCTCTTGGTCTAAGTTGGGTTCTAACAGCCACTGATAGCCTGCCAAATAAAGTAGCTCAATGGATCAAGCAGACAGGGCCTTGAGAGGAGGCAGTGTTTAGACAGACTCTTAACAGAGCTCAACAGATGAAGCCTTGAGCTGACTTAACACCCACTCACGTCAACGAATGCCACAAAGCAAAGGCTATAAAGCACCCTGTGATTAAACAACAGTGGTGTGAACAAAGGACACAGGAAAGCCCCCGCAGCATGAAGCTGTGGTGTAAATGGAGATGCTTGATTTCAGCCGGTCAATTATAACAAAGCGCAGGTTGTAGAAATCAACAGAAACGCACTCAAACATACTAATATGTGCATGAAAATAACTTCTGATGATTATGCAGAGTCCTTTGGCCGTCACAACGTTGCTGTTTGTTAGCCTCTGGAGAGGAAGACATACTCATACCTGCTTCACTGCTATTGATTCTCATTTCAATTTTGCTCCATTTAAAGCACTACATTGTTCAATAGTGCACACTGCTGAGTGAGTGCATTTATTCTGTGTACGGGGGAAATTGGATTGTGTCGGAGAAATAATTACAACCACTCAAATTGAGCACAAACACACTCATGCAGATATACGCTTTGGTCTCACACACACACACACACACACACACACACACACACACACACACACACACACACACACACACACACACACACACACACACACCACACACACACACACACACACACACACACACACCACACACACACACACACACACACACACACACACACACACACACACACACACACACACACACAACCACCACACACACACACCACACACACACACCCACAACACACACACAGCTTGTATTTTCAAATTTGTTAGCATTAGTTTTATGTTGCCTGGAGGGGTACATTTATGCTAACTTGGCTGAAATTTTTAATGACGCGTTTTTTTTTGGGTTTTTTTTAAACACCATTACTTAGCAGGGACTGTTGCTCTTTTTTTTCTTTTTTAAAGGACACGGGATAAATCAGCCAATTAATTAAAAGGCTTTTCATCACTGGCGCTCACAGACAGAGTGCCTCACACAGCGGGATGCAGTTCAATAATTACCTAATCTCCACACACTGGTCCTGAACGACTGCCAGCAGTTTGCCATTACTGTGGAGAAAAAAAGAGGGTGAAGGGACAGATCACAGACAGAGAGCAAAGAGGGAAAGTGAACAAATGTCATTTGGACTCATCTTTTTGGAATAACGGGAGATTAGAAAAATAAGAGAGAACATTGTGTGTGTGTGGGTGTGTGTGTGTGTGTGTGTTGGTGTGTGTGTTGTGTTGTGTGTGTGTGTGTGTGTGAAGTAGGGCAGTTTGATTAGAAAAGTGATAAATACTTGGCTAAGAACCCTGATTGGATGGGTTAAAGAGAGGAGAAAAATAATAATTAGGAGCATTAAAAGAGCAACGATAGCTTCAGATGGAAAGAAATGAGGGGGAAAGATTTAAGGGAGGACAGAAACCCAATGGAAGGATCAAGCACTTCAACCTAATGGACAGCCACAGCATCATTGGAGCACGCTGAACACCGTCTTACATGGACTGATCAATAGCCAATTATAAACTGCCTTTCTACTTGGTTCGTCTGTTGTAATGAGTTCAATTAAATGATTGGTAGAGGGGATACGCAAATGGAGGGAAAGACGACCAGGAGAGGAGAGGCGCATGTCAGCAACAAAGTAGCCAACATTCAGGTACTGATCACTAAGAGTGTGAGTATGTGTGTGTGTGTGTGTATGTGTGATGAGTGTGTGTTTATGTTGCACCTTGCGAGCACCAGCTGCCAGTTGATCTGCTTGTTTGCCAGAACGGACGAGGCCAAGAGGCAAGGAGGAGCTGGACGGGCTGAGGTTGACAGAATCCAAACAAACACAACAATTAGAGGAACACGTTTAAGTGGGTGTTTCAAAGTGACCAAGTTCACAAAGTTTCGACTACAAAGCTGGAGGATCTCCAGAAACATGAGAGGCTCGCGAGGTAACACTGTTGCTGTGAATAACAACATGCTTGTTCATTTTGTTTGCAGTGATTGGTTGACAGGTGACAGGTCTGTGTCAGTGAATGTGGAGAAGATATTCATCAATACATAGGCGTGTAAATTGGATATGAATTTAGAGATTGCAACATCGTTCTCTTTGGCGGCCCCTATGGCGATAAGTGATATTACAGTTTTTTTTTTTTTACCTCAACACAAACAGATTCAAAGATTGTGACATCAATCAGTATATATTCACATCATCTGGGTCCAGCTGTTTAAAAGGTTAACCTGGATAAGAATGACTCTACTCCTAAATTCATATCCTTTGATTCTTTTTAACAAGCCATCTTCAAGATTTGGACAAATTAAAAAGGGAAATATTCCGATCACTTTTGAACAGCTGGGCTGGACTCCTACTCGACTATTCTTTGCACAATGAAATAAACATCCTGATCATAGTCCTCTACGAAAACCGGAGGCAGTCTGAGAGACCAAACATGGCAAGAGCAGTTCTATAATATATAAAAAGGTTATTGATTATACTAACTGACCACCTACTGAAAGGGTTAACAGGCCTCAGAGCTTAGAGCTCGACCACTACAGACTCTGCAGCAGGTCACAGCAAGCTCTTTGTTACACTTTCCATCTGATACTTTGCAGGAAGACTGACATGAAAAGGGTCAATATT